TACTTCACAGAGATTCCGAGATTGCAAGTTGCGCTGCTTCGTGGAGAAAGAAAAATATAATCAAATTTCAATAGCAAGGTGATAACTCTATTAAGATTTCAAGATTCAGTTGCTAATTTTCTATGGTTGGTTGTTGGTTGGTGTTATTGACACTATATTAATTGCATTTTTAAGAGACATAAAAAAGAACGTGACAATAATGGTGGCTAGCCAGTAGCCACAAATTCTTCAAGCCGTTCCTTATCTATCTCTATCTATACGGTATTATATCTACATTATCAACAAAATATATATATATATATATATATATATATATATATATATATATATATATATATATATATATATATATATATATATATATATATATATATATATATATATATATATATATATATATATATATATATATATATATATATATATATATATATATATATATATATATATATATATATATATATATATATATATATATATATATATATATATATATATATATATATATATATATATATATATATATATATATATATATATATATATATATATATATATATATATATATATATATATATATATATATATATATATATATATATATATATATATATATATATATATATATATATAACCAATTGCGGAAACTTTTTCTGAGATATCTATTCTAACACCTGATGTCAATGAATCATGTATTATATATATTGTTATAGATTATAAATTGTTTTTATAAATAATTTTGAAGAATTTCAAAAAATATTATAAATTGTTTTGATAAAATCAATTTAAATATCACGTGACAAAACTTATCTCGTTAAAAATATTATAAGTTAAAATGAATTCAAACAAAAAATTTGTACATAATGTACTGTAGCATTATCTCCTCTAGCATGTTAATCTTCCCTAAGAACAAGATTTCTCTATTCTCCAGGTATGTTTTCCAATATTTTCGATTATGGTTTCACAATGCATAACACCTTATCTTCTCTTAAAGATATTGTTGCTTTTTTAACTCAACAAATAAAGTTTCTCAAAGAAAATTGTTCAAGTTAAAGCGCTTGAAATGAATTTCTACCTAGTGTTAACATAAGGTATTGACTTAAATCAAGAGAACAAACATTGAATCAATAACATTATGGATCAAATAAGTGAAGAATGTGACTTACAGTTGAAACGGCGAGCGAGGAAGGGTGTGAATCGGCCGGTGAAAAGTCGTGAATGGCGTGAACGGAGTGAACGACGTGAAACGGCGGCAAGGAGACGTAATCAAATTTCAACAAACCGCATCATCTATGTTCATCAAACAAATCTGCAAATTCACAACAAAAATCATCATCAATGGCGGTCGAAAACGATGAAACACGAACGAACAGAACCACCGCGGTCGAAGACGACAACCAGAAACGGCGGAAACACGAACGAAAACCACCGCGGTCGAAGACGACGACCGAAAACGGCGGTCGAAGAACCTCCGTAAATGGAAACGTCGATGATGGTGGCTGGGAAACGGCGGTGGTAACGTTTGTGAAACAGCGGTCGTAAGGGTCGTATGCGTACAGTGGAAAGGAGTGAAACGGCGGAAACACGAACGAAAACCACCGCGGTCGAAGACGACGACCGAAAACGGCGGTCGAAGAACCTCCGTAAATGGAAACGTCGATGATGGTGGCTGGGAAACGGCGGTGGTAACGTTTGTGAAACAGCGGTCGTAAGGGTCGTATGCGTACAGTGGAAAGGAGTGAAACGGCGGCTACGGAATATTGTACAGTGGAAATATTGAAATATTTTGAATTTGGGAAATAAGGGTTTGGAAGTTATTACCTCGGTGGAAATGAATACCCGATGTAAGGGTTGGCTTAGTGGAGAAGCTATTACATCGGTGGATCCTAATAACCGATGTAAGGGTTTTGAACCTATTACATCGGTGGATACTAATACCCGATGCAAGCTTTTTTTTTCTGACTTTTTTACATCGGTTTAAACTTCCACCGATGTAATATGTTGTGAAGATATTAATTTATTCTTTAATTTATTTTTTATATTAATATCTGTTGTGAAGATATTACATCGGTTTTTAGTTAACCGACGTAATATGTTGTATGTTTTTTATTAATATTTCTACTACCTTGTTTCTTATTTACAAAAATGCCACCGTATTTTTTTCTGAAAACTTTTTACATCGGTGGATGCGTTTGCCCGATGTAATAGGTAGCGAAATATATTTTTTTTCTTATTTTTTATATCATTGCAAATAAATACCTGATGTAAAAAGTTTATTAATTATATTTTTTACATCATATATTTTGATACCCGATGTAAAAACCTTTTCTCAAATGTCTTTTTTTAGTAGTGAAAAGATTCAAAGTCCGGATGGTCAAACCAATAATTGAAAATCTTAAACGGTTTTACCCCCCAATTGACATTATTCACTTCAACCAAATAAGCATATGATCCGAAAGCTTCCTCTTGTCTATCACTTGACACACAACCTTCCACTTAGCTATGAAACCTTATGAGAGTAAAAACCTATCCAACATACTCATAAAATTACCCTCCACGTTGATTCAAGTAAAAGAGCTTCTCCTCATAGGCACATCCACCATTTAAAGGTTATCAATGAATTATTAAAACTCAAGAATTTCACTCATATTAGCATATAATTATTTCGCTTTCCTTTCAGGTTGGTTTTTGATAGCATTGAAATCGCCTCATATACACCACTCTCCCTTGGGTTGTTTAGGTTTAAATTCAAACAACTCACTCCACAAAAACTTTCTCTTCTTAGACAACAAACATGATGAATATAAATTAACTATAAAGTATAACTCTACTTGCCAAGAGTTTTGTCTCTACCCTCAAGAGTTCTCATTTCTTCTATGAAGACTTCATCTGACTCAATTCCTTCTATCCCATATTCTTTTTCTCTTTTCCAGGTTTGATTTGCCACTTCCTCTGAAGCCCTTGCCTAATGAGTGTGAAACATCTCACCTTAGCATTCAGAACTGGGCTAGAGTCCGTACAATGAATTCCCATCACCAACATGACATTTGGAGTTATCCATCACATGTGAAATCTTGCTTTTAATTCTTTCTCAAATGGAAGATTGAGTGCGGTATTGAATAAAATATATTCTCCTAAGGACTTTAAGTCTAAGAAAAAAAGCTCATTGGTTTTGAGAATTAAGGAGCTCCCACCTAAGCTTAACCATTGACGTGTTTAAGGGACATAATGACAACTTTCCTACTATTAATCTCATATGGTCTTATGAAACTCCTTATTCATTTGTTAATGGGATTGAAGAGGCTGATCGAGTAGATAAGGAAATAATAAAAGAGCATGCACTGTATGGGACTCTTAACTACTTCAACTCTTCTATCAAAAGAAAAAAAAGTTTTGCCTAACCTCCTCCTATTATTACCAATTTTATAGATAAAAATTAAATAAATATGATAAATAATTAAGGATATTATAGATTAAAAGAAAATTATGATTTAAAAAAATAATAATAGTGATTAACTTTCTTGATACGTGTAAAATGAAAAAAAGAACACTTAAAAAGGAACAAATGAAATAACATATTATTAAATTTAATAAATTGTATGAATTGAGATGGGTGAGGTCTAGACTACCCTTTATAAATTTTTTGTGGGTATTTACCCTCAATGATATATATTAATACTAACCAAAAATCTTAAAATATTAGATCTATGTATTTTCTCATTTAAAAAGTTTAATATCTTCTTTTTCATTTAATGTGAGAATCATTACTCATACTTGATATATCAACATATTACTATTCAAAAATCAATTATATATTATTTTCTTAATTTTATTTTGAATCTTTAAGCTTCTAGATTAATATGTGATTTTAAAATTTTGTTTTTTATGATAAATTTTTATTGATAGACATCATAAAAGATAAATTATCTCTAAATTTACAAGAGATAGCTAAGAATTTACCATTGAAATGATATAGCAAGAGAGCAATTTCTGATTGCTTTTTAATAAGTCAATCATAATTCATAAATCATTTCTAATAATTACAAATATGTAACTAATCACTACTTTTTGAATGAAATGAAGTTGAAAGGATATGAATTATAAATAAATTTGATTTTTATTTATTTATTTAATATTTAAAGAACTACGTAGTAAAAAAAAATCAAATTTATTTATAATATAAGAATATAGGTGAAGATGTTCCAAAACATGAAATAAAGAAGTTGTGTTGTTTTTGTTAATGGCATCATCCTATATTTCTTCTTTGAGTCAAAAGCGTGTGGTTGTAATGTAGGGTACGTAGGTCAGAAAATCACTAAAGAATTTAAGCTGCTTTTCAATCTATTCAAGTATATCATTGCCATCACTGTTAACTTCTTTCCCCAAAATCCCCACACGCTTTCGCATCTTAAATGCCCTAATCATATGCTTCATCTTCTTACCACAAAAAAAAAAATTTATCGAAGATTCTTCAGTGATTAAAGTCACAGGAACAGACAACATCAAAATTGCTTCATTTTGAGTACTACTGCTCATCGACCACTTTAAATAAACAACTCTATAATGCAGTAAACCATATATTATAATCACACTTACAATATAATTTGTATATTATAAACATGAATTAATCCATTAATTCAACTATAATCTGGAAGAAAAATCGAGCCCGCTTAACACCAACCATATATTTTCCGCGTCATCTGGCCATGTACAGTTGTCACATGCATGCAGTCAACATCAGATAAATCCATTTCTGTATAAACCAGTACAATGTAAAATATGCATAAGAATGAATAATAATTGAATCTTTTTTATTTTCCTATAGTACCGTACTATAATGTGTACTCTCAAACTCTATATATAGATCACAGTTTTCTTTCACAATCTCAAAACAATTCAATCAATCAACTCTCTCTATCTATATATCTACTTTCTCTCTTCCATTATATTTTTTTCTTTCTTTCTCTTATTAACTCAATTCAATTCATAACTAATATAATATGGGTCTTGAGATAGAACAACCATGTGTTCACCTTTCAAACATTGCAGTTTCTGATACTCATGGTGAAAACTCACCTTACTTTGCTGGATGGAAAGCCTATGATGAAAACCCTTATCATCACTTAACCAACACTACCGGAGTTATACAAATGGGATTGGCTGAGAATCAAGTATGTCTATAATATATCTTTCAATTCAAGTTATGATTTATACTTCTAGCTTCTGATTAATTATGTCCTTTTTATAGGTTTCATTTGATTTGGTAGAAAAGTACTTGGAAGAGCACCCAGAGGATTATAAGGGTTTTAGAGAGAATGCATTATTTCAAGACTATCATGGTCTTATATCATTCAGAACTGCAATGGCAAGTTTCATGGAACAAATAAGAGGTGGTAGAGCCAAATTTGATCCTCAAAGGATTGTAATTACTGCTGGAGCAACTGCTGCCAATGAGCTCTTAACTTTCATTCTTGCTAACCCCGGTGATGCTTTGCTTGTTCCTACACCTTACTATCCAGGGTAACTATCTATACCATGCAACCATGCAATAATTACTTAAACTATACATATGATATGAATAATTTGTACTTATCTTTATCTTGTTGTACTATTGTAGGTTTGATAGAGATTTAAGGTGGAGAACTGGTGTAAACATAGTGCCAATTCACTGCAACAGCTCTAACAATTTCCAAATTACACCACATGCTTTACAAGCTGCTTACAAAGAAGCTGAATCAATGAACATGAAAGTGAGTGGAGTGCTAATCACAAACCCTTCAAACCCTTTAGGTATAACAATTCAGCGTCAAGTTCTAGAACAAATTCTTGACTTTGTCTCACAAAAGAATATCCACCTCATCTCAGACGAAATCTACTCGGGCTCAGTCTTTTCTTCCACCGAGTTCATAAGCGTGGCTGAAATTCTCGAAGCTCGTAATTACAAAGATGCTGAGAGAGTTCACATTGTTTACAGTCTTTCTAAAGACCTCGGTCTACCTGGTTTTAGAGTTGGAACAGTTTATTCATACAATGATAAGGTTGTGACAACAGCAAGAAGAATGTCGAGTTTTACCTTAATATCCTCACAAACACAACAGTTTTTGGCTAATATGCTATCAGACAAGGAATTTACGGAGAAGTACATTAAAATTAATAGGGAGAGATTGAAGAAGAGATATGAAATGATAGTAGAAGGGTTGAAAAGTGTTGGAATAGAGTGTTTGAAAGGGAATGCAGGGTTGTTTTGTTGGATGAATATGAGTCCACTTTTGAAGGAGTCAAGTAAGGAAGGTGAATTAGAACTTTGGAATGTGATACTGAAAGAAGTGAAATTGAATATATCACCGGGGTGTTCATGTCATTGTTCAGAAGCAGGTTGGTTTAGAGTGTGTTTTGCAAATATGAGTGAAGAAACTCTCGAAATTGCATTAAAAAGAATTCGTAAATTCATGGAAAAAAGAACAAAGACAAAGAAAGAATAATGGCGGCATGCTATATTTGACAAATATTTCATTATCTTATTTCTATTTTTTTAAATGGTAAATTGATGGCCATTTTGATAAATTCTTTGTCGGTGATATCAGAAAATTGGAAACTGTAAAAAAAACAGATTCGCCCTAGTAGTTCTTGTTTGCTTGCTTTAGTACTAAGCAAGTTCCTTGTAAACTCTCTTTGTTGTAACATTTGATTAAAGTGAAATTCAGATTCTTAAGTTTATAAATGGTATGTGTCATTATTTCATATGAGTTAGTAAATGATTTATTCTCATAGAAGAAAAAAAATTAATCAAATTGTCAAAATTGTATTAGTTAAAAATATTTCTGCACCTATTATAACATAGTGCCGTCAAAAGCATAAAATAATGAGAAAGATTGAGTTTTCTGAACAAACATAATAAATTCTATTAGATTTTACCAGAGAAAAAGAAGAGGGAAGAAGAAGAAGAGAAATGAAGATTAGTTATAACTGTTTTTACTATTCTCTTTCTCTATTATAGTTTATAGATTACAAGTGAATAATAACAATCAACCTCTCTCAATAACCTGAGAGAACTAGTCTATTTATAGACTACTAAGCTACTTAAGCTATGACTAACTTAACCAATTGAACTAAACAAACAGACCCAATTTAACATGCTAAAAAACCTAACATTTCGACTACTGCATGCTTGAGTGTACTTTGACTACAACATGCAGGACTTCAACATTAGCATGTGAACAAACTTCGACAACATGCTTAATCTCTGTTGAACCAAAAAACTACCTTTGTCGAGACTAGAGTTCGATCCCAAATCTCATAAATCTCCACCTTGAAACAGACCCTGCAACATCAAGGGAACAAACTAGCTTTTTCCATGCAGCTTTATCAACTGCATACAGTGGAAAAACTTGCAGCTTAGTAATGTCTTGGTGATCATATCAACAATATTATCTTTCGTCGAAACCTTCCGCACTTGGATTTTTCCACACTCGATTGTCTCTCTGACGAAATTCAACATCACATCAACATGTTTAGTTCGCTCATGATAGGCTGGATTCTTCGACAGGTGTATTGCACTTTGGCTATCACATTTAACAGTGATTGTTCGACCTTGAAGTTTCAGCACCTTAACAAAACCTTCAAGCCACAATGCTTCTTTCACAATTTCAGTGAGGTCAATAAATTCTGCTCCAGTGGTTGATAAGATAGCAACCTTCTGAAGTGTCGCTTTCCAACTGATTGTTATGTCAAACATAGTGAAAACATATCCAAAAATATATTTTATGAAATCCATACGACCCGCATAATCAGAGTCGACATATCCTTAGATTTCTACTTTACTATCATCACCATAGGCTCCACCATAAATTAAGACTTTGTTCAGAGACCCATTTATGTACTTTAGAATCCAATTCAATGCTCTCTAGTGCGCCTTTCCAAGATTCGCCATATACTTGCTTATAAGGCTTACTACATATGCTATGTTATACCTCGTACAGACTATGACATACATTAAAGAACCTATTATACTAGCATATAGAATGTTATTCATAAGATCTTTCGACTTCAGTACTAGAACTTTGAGTCGTACTCAACTTAAATTGAGGATTTTTCGGTGTTACAACAAGCTTTGAGTTAGACATACTAAATTTGTCGAGTATCTTCTTCAGGTATGTCTCTTGAGATAAGCATAATCCTGACTGTTTTTTATCTCTTTGGATGACAATCCCAAGAATCCTGGATGAAGCTCCCAGATCCTCCATGTTGAACTCCTTATTGAGTTCAACTTTTCCTTCATTAAATCCTTGACACTGTTGCCCGCCTCATTAATGATTGTCTAAATCCTTTTACCACCGCCAGTCTACTCAGCTCCTTCCTTTTCCTTTCCTTTTTGCGTATGCTGTTTCTTGTAAACAACCACCCATGGCCCTTCGCTATCACTCCCAGTAAATCTCTTCCATTCTGAATTGTATTATTTGTAACTCCATTCTTCTTGACAATAGCATCATCGCCTTCCCTGCTGCCTTGAGCATCTATGGATATATCATATTTATTCGGGAAACCTTCTATGTAATGCCCAAATTTACCACAGTTTTTGCAAATAAGATGCAAGCCTCACTACGCCAAAAAAGACTTACGAAAGCGCTTTTTTTGGCCTTTAAAAGCGCTTAAAAGCTCTTTCGTAGGTGGCGCTGCTATAGGTTTTAGCAGCGCTTTTTTGTTTAATGAAAAGCGCTTTCGTAGGTCTACCTAATACAACGCTTTTTTATTAATAAGCGCTTTCATAGGTCTACCTAAGGCGGCGCTTTTTTCTGGAAAAGCGCTCTCATAAATTTTCCTTTAGCAGCGCTTTTTTCTGGAAAAGCACTGTCTTAGGTAGGCTTTTAGCAACGCTTTTTTCTGGAAAAGCGCTTTCATAGGTGGTCTTTTAGCAGCGCTTTTTCCTGGAAAAGCGCTGTCATATGTTTACCTTAGACAGCGCTTTTTGTGAAAAAGCGCTTTCATAGATTACCTAAGGCAGCGTTTTTTTTGAAAAAGCGCTTTCATAGGGTGTTTTTTTTAGAGGTATAATTTATATAATTCATATACCTGCATTGTTTGGAACATATTATTTATATAAATCAGTTTCCATAACCTGTAATTCATAAACTGCGGTAATGCATTGTATACCATTGTAATCCAAAATATATACACACCATTTTTGTACCTCAAAATATATAAAAACCATTGTTATCAGCATTGTAACTCAAAATCAGTCTTACAAAATCAACCCTAACAACAACTAAACCAGTTCTAATGTATGAAAGAAACACGGTCAATTATGTATTAAGGTCCTGGTCCTGCGAGGTTTGAACATAATAACACGGTCAATATGGTATTCCATGTACACATGTAACGTATTCATAACACTTTTCACATAATAATGTATTTATACCTTATATGATTCTCTGCTCAATAAAATATTGACACAATTCCTCTTTGATTTCTTCCAACTGAAGTTTCGTGTAATATGCACATTTGTATTCATCGAAGTACTACATAACAAAACATAATATGCATGATTTAGTTAAAAGTAAAAAATTATATGAAATATCCGAGAAATAATAAAACAAATCCTAAGTTATAAATCCATACCGTGACTGGAATCTCTATTTGATTCAGTTGAAGGATTTCTTTGATAAACCGCATAATGAAGTATCTGCAATCTATACCGTTTTGCTGTTGAGGACACTACATAGAAAAACAAATAAGAATATATAGTTGTATTGTTTTATCAAATAGCATAAATATTATAAGCAAAATAGTGGAAATTAATATACCTGCACTTTGATCTAATTAATGTTGTTTGATTTAGATCGTCGTACCCGAGCTGCTCTTTGGCACCGGAATATTTGTATCGCTCTAACAAAATAAAAATATATTTAGAATAATGTCACAGAAATAATTAAATATATAAATACACACAAATATTTAGAATAATCTCTCTTACGTATCAATCATTAACTTCATATCCGGATAATTTGTCCAATCACCGTCAACCAAATTCAGATGATAGACCACTTCTTTTATAGGATCGATAGCAACCAACAACCAGTGACGTCTATAAATTAAAACAACAGTTTAGAAGAAAATTTTCTACGCAAAAATTACAAATATTAAAATGAACTTAGAATGAAAATCTAACCCTGTAGGAATAGTATTATACGCCCAAAGATATAAGCTTTTTGTACTTCCGGTTACCATGAATCTTTCGACTAAGTGCTCTCTTACTGAATCTGGTTCCCTACCAATTGTCGCTCCGCTGACACGGGAGGAAGACACGAAATGGAATCTGTTTGAAAATTGATTCTCGCACATCAATTTGTCATATAACAACCTTAAATAAAAACATAATTAATATTAGACTATATTCATTAAATGTTTAAAAAAAATCCAGCTAATTACATAATATAAAGATGGGGTTACCGGATGTATGCATGCATAATACTGACGCCTAATTCTTTATGACGGAAAATTTGTTCCACGTCCTCATGTCCAATTGTTTCGGTGCAAGGAAAACCAAAGATACCTTGATCCATATCCATTTGACGAATACCACCATCCATCAAATCTGTTGTTCCCACTATTGTTTCAAGACACTGCCGGTATCGAGGGAAAAATCTAGTAGGAACCCTTTTCTTGGGTGGCACGCCAATGATTTTCTGGCTCACTTGTTGTGACCCTTGAAAAGGTACCTAAAAATCATATAGACTCAGTTAAATTATAAAATTATGCAGTTTTTTATTCTGATCATATAATTAACACTTTAAACGTACCTCTTTTTGTGATACACCAGACTCGTCGTGCCGCAAAATCCCTTTACCCTTAGATGCGGGTTTTGTAGGAGTCTATAACTACCGTGGAAATAACTGAGGTCAGAACTGACAGTTGAAGACTTAAAGATTCATAATGGTTTTCAACATACCTGATCATCTATGAAAATGAGGTCCGATGGCCATGCAACAAAAGATCCTATTGCATCTCGCAACAATGTGGTCTCAGCAACAATGTCAGGTACCGGCAGCAACGCATCCATATCTAAAGCAATATCAACTGATACTTTCATGTGTCCATCCGAAAGCGGTCTATGGTGAAGTAAGTCTCTCAAAGTGTTATGGACTTTTCCCTTGCCAACTAGTCAATAAGTCGGAGACGATAGGTATAGCTGGCAAGATGAAATGCCCTAAACCAATAATAACCATTAGAAGTGACTAAAAATATTCTATAATAATAACAGATATATATTGAAAATTACCTCGAGAAATTTATGATGACAGTTGATACTAGCTTTGTCACTAGTTTCTTTCAACTGTGAACTGCTCTTTTCCGCCATATATCTCTCTTTATCCTTCTGCAATTCACGGACTTGAGCTTGTAAATCCTGCAATGTTTGCATCACTTCTGCATTGCTAGGATTTCTTCTCCTTGGATGCTTATACAAAGAGGTTGGAGTCACACCATG